CCAGAGGGAGACGCGGGGAGTGGGAGCGCAGCGGCCCGGCTTGGCCCGGACCCTCGGCGCGGAGGAGGCGGGGTCCGGCCCGGGCGGCCTTCCCGGACCTGGTGGGGCAGGCCCACGGGGCTAGGATTGTGAGGCGCAACTCCGGCAGCGTTCGGGGAAGTGCCCGCAGACCCCCGGAGGTGAGTGCGCGCCCCTCTCCCGCGACCGGGTCTGTGGGAGTCCTCCATGGCGAGAGGCCGGAGGTCGGGAGCCAGCGGAGCCCGCGGGGCGAGCAGAGCGGGCCCGGGACTTGTGGGAAGGAGGAGTGGCCGGCTGACTGTGCGGCGGGGCATCCTCCTGACCTGGTAGTACTTTGGTGGGAAGGATGGTTCCGAGGCTGTTGAGAGAGCTCTGCAACGCTGGTCAAACAGCTCCACGAAAGATAAGAGTTTTTTTTCAGGTAGAAATCGTGCCACTAAACGTATTGAATCCTGCTGCTTAGGACCTCTAAGATAATATTATTGGGTGCATTTTGGGCTAGGAAACTTACCCCAAATTAATGGGTAGATTTTACGGCCACTTTGATAAACTCTGGAGTCTGATAAAGCTCACCTGTGAGTTTGCACATGCGTTGCTGTTAGGTAATGATGTTCTGGTGTCGTCTCCAGACTGAGGCCTAAATTCTGAACGGTTTTAGTATCTTGATATTTATCTGACATTATTTTCTCACAGCGAGGAAAAAAATGCGCATACTCTTCTAGTTGAGGTTCAGTTTAGTTTCTCACGATGTGTGGACGGCGATTCCGTCGAGGCCTAGGTTGAATTTCAGGAGATGATTTTTTTGAAAATGTGAGATGTTTGTGATTTGTACCTGGCGAGCTGTTGGGGACCTTCCCCTTTGAGATTCAAGGCTGTTTTTCGGTGGGGTAGGAGGCAAGACGCATGTTGTTTTCACTCGGAGGCCAAGTAAGATTGGTGCCATTCAGAAAGTCTTCCCTTCTAAGGCCTGTGACTTGGGTGGGTTGAAGAGCTTAGAGAGTGAACTCTAAGTAAAACCAGTACTGTACTGCAAACCCAGTACAGTATGTGATATTAAACTAAATTTGGAGGGTTCTAAAATTTTAGATTGGCTCCCTGTGAGGGCTTCTTTCAGCTCTAATTACCTCCCTCATTTTCAGGTGGTCCAGAGGTGTTCAACTGACTAGGACACTGGCTGGCACAGCCCCACTGGTAGTTAATGGCAAGCCATAGGAGAGCTCAAGTTTTCTCGGCTTGTAGGCCAGGTTTTTTTAGTTGAGTAGTTACCTAATTAAATACTGGTTCTCAGAAATAGTATGGACTGCCTGAAATGCTGATTCCTGGGCCTTACGCAGAACCTGGTGAATTAAAATCTGAGGGTGGGGCCTGGGAATCCATCCTTACAAAGCTCTCTGAATGATTCTAGCCAGCCAGGTTTGAGAACTGCTTTAGGTCACGTTTGGTATTCCGAAAGATTCCCATTAATTATGACTTCTGAGAGTGTTTTAAATTATCTATAGAATTTGAGAGGTATGGAAGAGGGGGAAGTCTGAGAGACTTTAAACTGAAAATTGATCATCTCTTAAAATGAAATGGATTTATATAGGGGAAACAGATTTGTTGGCAAAAAGTATTTCTGCAAGCCTTCAGGAACACACTTGATAAAAGTAAATTGTGCTTGACTGAAGGTATATCCAAAATATCCAGAGATATTTTGAGGAATCCAGAGGAAAGCAGAGAGGGAGAGGCATTAAGTCTTTCTGGCCCACAAAGGGATCCACTGAAGGTGCTTCCCAACATCGTGGTTGCTTCTAGACTATCTGATTCAGGTTTCTAGTAAAGTGAGGGAAGGGCAGGTGAGTTAGCAGTCATTTGAGACAAGGGTTGTGAACCAGGAAGGTTTACTGTGGATTGTGAAAAGTGCTTGAAATATGCCTAAGGCCATGAGGAGTGGTAAAGTCAGTCTTTAAGTCTGTTGTAGTTTTGGTTGACACCTTCTGTGGTAAAGTGGAATGCTGAGTTACCAAAGGAAGTATTCATTTTGCAGAGAGGGTGTGGTGAGGTTTTTTAAGTTTGGAAGAAAATGTTACAGTTTTGTAGGGTAGTGAAGAAATTTGATAAATATCCTGTCGAATCATAGAGTAGTACTTTTAGAGAAGTACACTCAGTTGTCCAGTACGAGAGCCGGAGGCCATGTCTTTGATATCTTTGTGTCTCCAGTCTAGCATAGTTCCCAGTGTATACTATGCCCTCAGATATTGAGTAAATGAATAGTACTGAGATGGGAAAAAACAGTTTATGGTGGTTGATAACATTAGTTATTAAAAGCTACTTGATAAGTTGAACTGGGTTAGTCAGTTTTTTAGTTCTTGTGGTTTGGAACTTTGAGATCCCATCAAGAGGTTCTGTTTTTTAAAGATTTTCATTGTACACTTTTCCTGTCCCCTGGTTTTTGGGTCTTAATGTCTGTTTTTTTAGGTGTTAGTAACTTTTTTTAAGGAGCACATTTTATTACATTAAGAAAAATTTAGAATAATGGGAAGCTGTAGATTGGTAGAAAGTCTGTGTCATTAATTTGACTGTGTGACTGCTTGGGAATATCACTTCTGGGCCTCAGTTTTCTTATCTATACAATTAAGGCCTTGTACTCATTCATCTCAAGTAGTTTCTCCAGACTGATTCTGCGAATCTTTAATAATTTGTAATTATGTTATGTTATTTCATCTTATAGATAGATGAAACTTTCAATTAAAAAAAACAAAGAATATTCTGTCTTGGGTTTTGCTTTTTTGGCTTACGGATTTTAGACATTGTCTAGGAGTCTCTGGAAATTGAGTACGTGTTGCAAGTATTACGCAGAAACAACTTGCTTATGCTGTTGAAATTCACTTAGTGTTGAAATCAAAACAGATTTCACATAGGGAACTTCATAATTTAGTGTGGAGCCACAAGATTAAGAATGGTTTGGGGGAAGTTTCTGCAATTTATATGGTCAGTTGTTTCTTTCAGACCACCTAATTCTTTAATTTTCTGTGGTTAATTTATATGTAATTTTATAATCAGTGAAACTTTGACTTAGAATATGAGATCAAATCAATAACAGATTGAAGTAGGATTCCCAACAATTTTAGAAGATAACAATATTGTTAACACTCATTGCTATTTTTAATCTTAATTTTATGATAACATTGTTGGTATCATGCTTTTTATCTTCATTTTTGCGTCTAGAACTTCAACATACCTTTTAAGTTCCTTTCAAGTTCATATTTATATCAGGTGTTCAAAGTGAAAATTGTTGTAACATGTCAGTAGATGACCTATAAATCCTGGGTTCAAGCCCATGTTGTGCTCCTCATTAGCTGGCTTGTTTCTGGCAAACCATATAACCCTTCTGAGCTTTAATTCCCTCATTAGTAAAAAGAAGAGCAGCTTCTCTATTTATCTCACTCTGTCAGTGAGGATCAAATGGAATGGCATGTATGGAAAGCAATTAAAAAATGTAAAGGGCTGATATTAGAATCCTATTGTATTAGAATTCTATTTTCCTGGAAGAGTTGGCTTGTGGAGCAGTGGTAAATCTGGTATGTGCTGTCAAGTGAAGAATTTACTAATATCACTCATAAGGCAACAGAAGATTTCTGCTTCTTTACTCTGCCTGGGGAAACTTTTTAGCAAGTATTTGCATCCTGTCTGCCCATAGAAATAGTGTTTTGAGAACTTCAGAGGGATTGGGGATGTCTCACATTTGTGCCGAGGTTTGCACTTGGAATAGACTTGCTAGGTTCACCCATTTTATGTTGGAGCAGTTGTGTTAAGAAGTAGGGTCAAGGAGTTTGCTGCATTCTGTGTAAAGTTTTAAGTCTATGTTTTCTTAATGGCAGGTGGCAGCATCATAGGGTAACGAAATCAATGGTGATTTTAAAAAGCATTAAATAGAAAATATCAGCAAATCAAAAATAATGAAATATTTAGGAAATTTCAATTTTTTTCTATGTATATATATGTGTACTGAGTTGCAACATAAGATGTATTTTTCCTTGAGCTGTGGTAAAGCTTTGAAGCTGTTGCTTAGGAACATGGTACTTGAGCTATATCGTTAGGACAACTGTCTATAAGATAGTAAGGCATAAAACAAATGAACAGCTATAAGGGAATTGTGAAGTTGGGTTAAATTAAAGCTATTTTGTTAAGGGTTAAATACCTCCTACCTCTGTTATACATTGTTGATTAATGAACAAAGTTAAGACATAAACTTACGCTAGTATTCTTAAGCACTCTTCCCTTAAATAGACTGCTTGATAACGGCAAAGGTATTGTCTTGGTGCTGATTGCTACAAAGCATCATCTTGGCTATCTGTTCAGGCCTGAATCTATTATGTGCCAATTTGTGTCTTTGTATACTGTTTAGAATGATTTTATTATAAGAGTAGCAAGCTTTTCTGATTTCACTTGTCTGTGTTCTAGATTTAATTTTTTCAGTAGCTAATGCTTTTGTAATTTAGTTGCAGAAGAGAAATACAAATTTATTTAGGTTTCTGAATTAATCATATATTGGCAATCTAGCAAAATACAAGGAATTATAAGTATGTTGATAAACCCTGACACTTGGAAAGAATTGGTATTAAGACAGGATGGTTGACTTGAAATAGGGTATTTCTTATCTTTTTGTTTATGCCTATCATTTTTCTGTAAGATAAAACAAATTTGTGATCATAAAGTATTTAGACTGATTCCACAAACCACATGGGGCAAAGTAGTGTTTATAAAGAGTTTTTGGAAGTCTATAGGGCTAAAATAAGGAGTTTTGAGTTAATTTCACTTTTAATTTCAAAATGAAATTGTTTCTATTTATGAAAACTACAGTACATACTCAGTGGGGGAACCTACAAAAACAATTGAGATAATGTAGGAGAATAAAGAAAAGTAGAGATGACCCTATACAGATGAGTCTATAATCTCATTTAGATGTAATGTTTGGGTTTTTTTCTTTTTTACTTACACATAACCACTGAAATACTTAAAGAACAACTTTCCATGTTGATGTTCCCGTAATGGTTATTTTGTGTTCTGTGATATGGATGCATCATAGTTTACAGCAATTCTCTGTTAATGGACATTTTACTTCTCATAAAATAGTGCTGTGATGTACTCATTTGGACTTTATAAATATAATTGTGCTATTGTTGTCTTAGGCTAAATTCCTAAAAGTGGGATTTACTTGGACAAAGATTGTGTGTTTTAAATTTGAATATACTTAAGGTGC